CTCAGTTGTTTAGAGCGTCATCCCCATAGGCCAAGGTTGTGGGTTTCACCCCCATCAGGGCACATACAAGAATCAACCAATGAACACAGAAACAAGTGGAGCAACAAATCGATGTTTCTCTCTCCCCACCCCCTTCCTCTCTCTCAAAATCAATTTTTTTAAAAAGTTTGTTGCCAGCATCTAAAAATTGGGAGATTTGATATAAAAATATAGAAATCTAGGGGATCTTGAAAAATCTTCAAGCCCCGAGCAGCGGGTCTGGGTATGTTAACATTTGCCAACAATCCAATGGGCCCGTGTGGCGCTGTCCTCTTGGAGGGTCCTGGGCTCCTGGGTTCTCACCTGCCTGCCGCGGCTTGCTTTCCTAACCAGTATTACCTGCCTGAGTGCCTGTAGACACTTTTTAGATCTTTAAAAAAGAAAAAAAGAAAAACAGGATAGTGGAAAAAATGCAAGCGGTTGTCCTTAGTCACTCGGCTTTCTGTCATGCAGTTTAAGAGTCAGCTATGTGGTTTTTCTAGCCTTGGTAATATGACAGTTGAATGTGAAAAACATCCAGAGAGACAGGGTATGGATATTCCTGTGAATAGCTGCCATGAAGCTGATGCCCAAACGGAGAAGAGCATGGAAACGAGCAAACAGCATAGGACCTCGTGTCAAACCTTTTTTCTTTCTTTTTTTCTAATCTGCCCTTAAGAACAAATAATTGACGACAGTAGAACCTCATGTAGTTTGTGTTGGTTTTTTACTCCTATGTATTGAAGGGGTTTCAGAGGAACGTGGACTGCTGGTGGGCAAATGGGCTACACATTAATCCCTGCCTCTTAAGAGTCCAGCGTTTCAATACCCAAATCTCACTGTAGATCAGCTAACAAACCCAATCTAATGTCATCTGCCTGTGACAGACACGCAAAACCTTGGGTGATAAGTTGAAGGTTAAGTGAAGAGGCAGGGCTCTGAACTGTCCCAGAGACCCTCTTTCATCTGGTAAAGCACCGCTGTTTGTGTTGACACTCTTAATGACTTTTCCACTCCTTCCTTCCCCCAGTTTGTAAAGGTCCTCAGATTGAGAAAGGTTAAAGTCAAGGTCTTGTTTTGTTTTAATCTTCTCCTAGATAATTATTTAAGTAGCAATTGCATGTTTTTGCTTATGCACCCACTTAGTGCTATATAATAGCTAACATTATCAAGTGCCTACTGTGTGCTAAGCACGTGCCTGCATTATCTTATTCCATCCTCATTAAAAACTCCATGAACTGTGCACTATGTCAACCTCCTGTTGTAAAGATAAACTGAAGTTTGAGAGCTAAATAATGTGTTCATCGCACAGCTAGTAAGTGGCCTGCTCCAAAAGTCCTGCCTCAACCACTATTATATGTGTGTAGCAGCCTTCAAAATGTAGCATGTCCATTTCTAACAGGACTGAGAATTAAAACTGTGAAAACTGGGGTTTGGCCCAGGACACAGACTGTGTCAGTAAACCAAAGAAAGATAGAAGATGATGAAATTCAGTGATGCCAAACAATGCATCACCAAGGAAAGTGTCTTTGTAGTTACTAGTCTTATTAGACAATGAACAATTCACATAGTACAAATCTCCAGAGATATAATGCAATTAGAGAAGATCCAGAGAAGACGGCATCAGTAATCAAGGAAAAAGAAATGAGGCTTAAACAAGAAGAGACAAAAATGTTAGCATGCTTTATTCTGGAAAGATGAATACTTACTAGGCTTGGTATATGGGGATTGCTCAGACTCATAGAAACTTAATTAAACTAAAAGACAACTTCTCTCAGCTAATAAACATTAAGAACTTATTCTGAGAATTCACATGCTTTGGAGGAGATGCTTAGAACATCTATATTTTTAAGGTTTGGATTTTTTAATAAATAAGGGAAATTAGTATATTTAGGAGGTGTATTTCTAATTTCCAAGTTTGAAATACACACTGCAGCCTGGGTGATCTTTTCAGAATGCAGATTTGATCATGGGATACCTTCTTCCATTAAAACGGATTCTCACTGCTAAGGATTAAAAGAATTCTTAAACACAGTCATGCAGGGAACTGAAAGTTCTTGTCCTTACTTATCCAGCATTCCCTGGAATCACACTCCTCCTTGCTGGCAATTGTGTGCAGACACTTTGACAGCTCCTTCAGCACCCAAACTTCAGTGGGCAGCTCCCTCTTCTTGTCCTGGGCCAGGTCAAGTCCCTGTTTCCTGGCCCTCACAGCACCTCTTTTTCATGTGCCCCGATTTGCCTCCCTCTAAGTAGGCAGAGGTGGGCCTGCTCTTGCTTACCTTTGTGTCCCTGTAAGTTGTGCTCCTCAACTCAAGGGCTCTCCCCTTGGGATGTTCTATCAAGAACCAGAGGTGGTCATCTCATTTATTTGAAGCATGTAAAGGAGATGGGATTCACATCCACAGCTCTGTCTGGGAAAGGGAAGTTTAGCTATTGCTTCTATACACTATTTGGTTAATTACATGTTAACTTCCTTCCAGTTGGCTACACTTAATCTGGTTGGGTCCCTATCAAGGTCATCCTGTTTACTGCTGTGTCTGCAAAATACTGTGCTACATTTGAACTTTTATCAAGAAGAACGTTTAGTAGGAACCGCCCAGACCTTGAGACCCTTGTCTTACTGAACAGTTGTAGGTAGGTAAAAGCCCTGGACATATTGTTGAATAGAGAAGCCCTATGCCCTCCTAAAATGCCACTCTCCAGGGCCTAATTCTGGTCTGGGTAAATTAAGGGGCCAGTGGTGGAGGTAGCATTTTTATTTTGTTTTTGAAAAACAGGTAAAAGAGAATTTTGTGTATGTGAACTAAGGCATGACTATGAAACCAATGCATTTTAAACTAAGAAACTAAATTCTCCCATTTGCATCTAACCCAATTTAAAAATAGACTGCCCCAGCTCCTCGATCCCTTGCTTTATAGAGTGCTATCTAAGACACTACATGTATTTCACTTATTTAGTTTATTGTGCATCTTCCCCACCAGGAAGTAAACTCCAGGAGGGATGGGGTGTTTGTCGTTTTTTGCTCACTGAGATACCTCCAGAGTGTAGAACAGGGTTGGGCACGTAGTAAATGCTCTCAATAATGCCCAGAAATAATAGGCAGAAAGTATCAATTAGCCCCAAAGTAAATTTTCATGGAACTCTGGTTTGGATTTTTTTTAATCTTATAGAGATTGTATTCAGTTATTAGCTTTAAGACAATTAGGCTTCCTAGTATATCAGGAGCCTCAAATTACAGTGCACTAGAATAACTGAGCACTTGTAAAAACGCAGGTTATCACCATCAAAGATTCCAACTCTGCAGTCTGGGGTCGGGTCCTACCAGTTCCAGGAGCTGCGTTAGGTTGTAGCCAAGGGCCAGGATTTGCACACAGAAGTACTCAACAGAGGAAAAACGCATCCTTCACTCCAGCTGTGTTCATTACTTACATTACGCCTAGGGGCTTTAGCAATGATTAATGAATTTCTAAAGGACTGGTACTTTCCCCATTTTACAGATCAGAAAAGGCTGGTTTATTCATACTTTCCCGCTTCTCCTCTGTTCACGCGAATTTTTGCGGTTCCTACCAGAATGAAAGGGAGAATTACAGAGATTTTTAAAAAGTGTGCAAAGCTACCAAGAAAAACAGGAAAAGTGCGCGGTGCCCAGCGGAAACCTCCCGTCCAAGTAGACGCCTAGAGGGCACAGCCTTTGCCTTTGCCCCGGGCTCCCGGGGTTGGAGACCTTTAGGCGTTTCCTGCTGCAGACGTGCGCAGCGCCAGAGCCTAGCATTCCAGTCCCGCCGAGGAGGTGCGGGCGGGCTAGGCGGGGCCAGCGGACTGCCCGCGGCCGAGG